AAGAAATTAATTCAAAATAAAATAAATTCAAAATCACCAAAAAATGTTAAAATTACCAAATTTAACTAGCATAACTCCTCGTGTTCACGTTACCGTTTGATTGAAATTAATAGCTTCAAAAATGTTGAAGCTATAGATCTTTCAAGATTGCAATACACGTCCAATTCTGCTAAAAAAGCAGAAGTTTAGCGGCTTGTATCTCTGTAGCCCGAGGGCATATGACAAAATCCTTTGACCCTCAGAGGTTTCACCCAATAGCCAACAAGTCAGACTTGTGACAGCTCAAGAAAAAAGTGAGCTCGCTCAGCTCAACTCCGTTTTATCCGCTCCCGCTCAGCTCCCGCTCAGTTTAACACGGCTCAGCTCAGCTCACGCTCCGCTCAAACCGGCTGTGCTCCGCTCACGCTCAGCTCAGCTCAGCTCAGTTTCCGCTCAGCTCAGCTCAGCTCAGTTTCCGCTCAGCTCAGCTCAGCTCAGTTTCCGCTCAGCTCAGCTCAGCTCAGCTTCCGCTCAGCTCAGCTCAGCTCAGTTTCCGCTCAGCTCAGCTCAGCTCAGTTTCCGCTCAGCTCAGTTTCCGCTCAGCTCAGCTCAGTTTCCGCTCAGCTCAGCTCAGTTTCCGCTCAATTCAGCTTAGCTCAGTTTCCGCTCAGTTAAATTCACGCTTAGATCGCTCAGTCGTTCTTTTTAAATCGGACATGCTTAACCCTCGCCCGTATAGGGGGGGGGGGGGTCGAACGGACCCCCCTCTGTTTTTCGCGAATAACTCGCGTAAAAAGCGGCCGATCGCGACGAAACTTTCAGTACCCTCGCGATAATCAATTTTACACCTATCCTGAAAATTTCATGACCCTGACCCTAATGACCTTTGACCTGTGACCTACTTTTCGAGACCATGTTTGGCCGGAATCGCGATTCGGCGTATGTCGGCTCGCATTAGCCGCGCGTTAGCAGTCTTTTTGTGGTTTCAAGTGTTCAAACATGGCATATGATGTTGCTCCCATGCATTAGGGTGGGTGTCAAGGTCACCGGAAGGTCAGGTCAGGTCATTGACCTTTGATGACCTCGGTTCACTTTTTCGAGTTTTACATGTTTCTAGGCTAGTTTTTGGAGCTGAATTCGAATTTAGCAACCATTTGAACATTTACGAAGCAGTTTTGGTGCCTTCGTAACATGTTACGAAGCTGTCAGAGGCTACTACGAATACCCGGCAAAATCCTTACTGGTTGACCTGACCTGACCCGACCTGGCCTCAATGCATAAAGACATCATCAGTGATCATAACTAACATGATATTCGTGATCAGCACCCCGAAAAACCCCATAGCAGCCACGTTTTACGACGTTCTAACAGGTCCCGATTTTCCCGACTTTTGGGTCATTGACCTGACCTGGAAGGTCAACCGATAACCTAGGACCTTAAAATTGGGTATCATCGGCTTCCTCTCGTCGCGGGCAGCACGCTCGTTTTTTCCGCGAAGCTCTAGCTCGATCAGGGACGAAACGGCAAGGGGGGTCCAACGGACCCCCGCACACAGCCGCTATCTGGGTTCAGAAGTGGCCAATACCCTAATTTTCGACAAATTTTAAAGCGTGATTTTCTCACATTTTCTGGTCGTAAATTGATCAGACTGTATAAAATATCACCCAGAAAAAAATATTACTCATTCTGGCACAGATTGGTGGGCTCCCAAAGTACACCGTTTTGTTTTGCTCCGTGAGACCGAACTTGTGCTGCGATTTTCACGTAAATGTTGACGAGTCTCCTGTCATATTCTTTGCTTGAACATGCGTAAGTAAGGTATCAGTTGAAAGGGGAAAATGTGCGGAATCCATTGGTACCAAAAGTGCATCTAAAAAACTTCCCACCCAGTTATTGTAAGCTAATTGTTGCACACTTGCACAAAGCAGAAGGGCTTGAGGATTTCAATATTTACATAGGCCTACCAAAAAACGCACAGCGTGCTTCACATCGAGACAACGTCCATAACATATACCGTACAATTGTGATTCATTTGCTGAAAAAATTAGGTCGGCATCACACTGCCGGCAAAAGTTATTGCAGTTTTAGTGACGCTAGGTCGCCGCCCGGCCGACCCCGATCAGGTCGGCCGGGCGGCGGCCGTGCAGCTGACGTCCGTACGGTTCGGCAGCTGACCAATCAGCTGCGAGAGAGGAGCGCGGTCCGTCTAATCGCTCCCGGTAGTTGCTTGTGCTGAGGGGTGCTCGACGCTCGTGTCGACTGCATTTGCTGGTTATGGATTGTCGATTGACTTGTGGGTATACTTTCTGGTGACCAATAAATGTACGTCGTCTTAACTGAATGTAGTCTGATCAAATTCAATAAAGCAAAAAGACATCCAGCCAACAGAACATCGTAAGAATGTCCGATATGGTTGATAACATTCAGAGTTTTGGGGAGCAGCCATCGACCAGAATGAGCCTTATTGGCTTTTGTATGTAACATTTGCATTGCTTTTGGAAAGTTTCAGTCAGATATCTTCAGAAATGGCAATGTTATCGGCTTTTGCATTTTACCGTAGTCGGTTAATCACAATTTTCGATATTGCAAAGGCAATTTCAGTACGTTCTTGACATCGAAAACCAAAACGAATAGCATCATCGTGTTCCAGAGCTCAAATTGCATCCGATGCACATCTTTTTTGTTGAGAATGTTCAACTTCAAAATTTGGCCTTTCTGACCTCGCCGTGACCTGACCTTCATTTGTCGAATGGAAATAGTTTCGAATCGGACGACCCAGATGACATCTTTTGAGATGCTTTTGCCGAAATGGACCATTAAAAATGTGTCGCATGACCTTAAAAATGTATACATTTCCTTCCATGACCTTTTCCATGACCTTTTGTGACCTATGACCTTTCCATGACCTTTTGTGACAAAGCTAGGTTTCGTTTGTCAGCTATTCCTATCAGAAGCCGTTTGAACTTTTAGTATTGAACGAGTAGTTTCGAAGACAGCAGGGAAGCTATGCAGAATCCCCTCCCGAGTCACCCACGTTATGGGATATAACCGTCATCCGCGGATTACAAGCAAAACTATTTTTTACGGCAATGATGTATCAGCATGGATGCTCATACGTTCCCATATGTGACCTTACGGTTGACTTCACATACAATAAAAATTACTTGGCAAAATGTCAACTGGTTAACGAGTTATCGCATTTTGGCCACTTCCGAACTCAAATAGCGGCTGTGTGCCCCGCCCCCTTATACGTTCGCGGCTGGAAAAACACCAATACGGGCGAGGGTTAAAAAACAGACCAACTCTTGGCGCATAAGTAAGTCTCCTCTAACAAGGAGCGAGGCAACTTACACAATGGGCAAAAGAGATAAGCTCATTAAGACCTTGAGACTTTGCGAGTCGTGCGTCTACTTGGACTCAGACTATAGTTACATGAAATGGACTGTTCTTGGCAGTGTTATCACATGTTATCAGAGTGTGCACCCGCGATGTTAACATAACATATAAGTTCAAAATATACGAACGAAAAAAGTCTGGACGAAAAAGTTTACAGACGAAAAAATGTACAGACGAAAAAATGCCAGACGAAGAAAAGTCGGACGAAAATCTGCTAGACGAAAAAAAACGCCATGGAATCATCTCAACTAGGCGGTGTTTCACGGCCGAGAGCAGCACGCCCACGCCGCCATCCGCTCTTGGCACCCTGCCAGGAGCTGACGTTACATTTTGGGGTAGTGTTGGAACTTGGAGATAAGAGTTTGTTTATATCTCCATGGAAACCCCATTTGACACGTGTGATAGCAGCGTGCTGTTATCAGTGAAACCTTGAGTGAAACCAAACACCACCCTGATCTCAACCAAGGCAATGTCAACACAATTAGAATTCATAGTCGGCGTGTGAATAAGGGAGCTTTTCCCATATTATGGACATCAGAAGGTGAGAGTTCCAGTTAGCGCCTCTGCCCCACCCCACTTTCAATAGGATATGGTTGCTTAGCCCACATTCAACCAACGAAGAGGAACATTTGCTAATTCCTAATTGTAAATATTTTATGCAGAGGTAAGAACCCTTATCGATAAAATCAATTTAAATAACTGCTTAAATAACAAAGTGAAGAATGCTGAATTGTACATTGCGGAGCAGAGTGTCAAGGCGAAGCATCAAAGCCTGACAGTAGGTATTCATCTTGCAGTCAGACTTGAAACTTGAGACTGGCTGTATTAGCCTGTAAATTGGCCAAGACCCTGGTCTTCCAATTTCCATGCAACATGGATGAAATAAATTAAGCTTGATTAGTGATTAATATTGATTTCTTTAGAGTTTTGATATTTTTAAGTGCGATCACGAAGGCAGTGTAATTGCTCACTCCATAGCTAGCTCATAGCTGAAGCATCAAATCCTGAGTTAATTTCCAAGCATGAACTGAAAAGAATTAGAACTGGATCAGCTCAGCTCAGCTAAATCAGCTCAGCTCAATCAGCTCAGCTCAGCTCAGCTCAGCTCAGCTCAATCAGCTCAGCTCAGCTCAGCTCAATCAGCTCAGCTCAGCTCAATCAGCTCAGCTCAGCTCAATCAGCTCAGCTCAGCTCAGCTCAGCTCGCTCAGCTCAATCAGCTCAGCTCAGCTCGCTCAGCTCAGCTCAGCTCAGCTCAGCTCAAGCTCATTCAGCTCAGCTCAGCTCAAGCTCATTCAGCTCAGCTCAGACAGCAGCTCAGCTCAATGCATTACAGAGCCGGCTCAGCTCACAGCTCAACAATTTGGCAAAATGTTGAGCCGGCTCATGAGCTGAGCTGATTTTTGAGCCGGCTCAACTGAGCTGATCACAAGTCTGCAACAAGTATACCAAGTTTGAACAAAATCGCAGAGGTGGCCGATTTTGGCTGTCCCGGTTGACATGGAATGCCCCGAAAGTGTCTTATCTCTGTGAGTAATAACCAAGCAGATATTATTCTACTTAATCTTCCTCCATTCGGTATTCCACCCCATCTAACTGACGCTACTCACGCTCGTTCGATTTCAGTCACCACCATGTCGCCAGAGATCGGCATTATTCACTACAGCGACATGCGTCAGATCTCGGTGGCCGACCTGCCCGGACTGATTGAGGGCGCCAGCAGGAACATCGGACTGGGACACAGCTTCCTACGGTACGGCGGCTGTTGCCTTTATCGGGGTTAGGGAGGGACGGACTAACTTTTTTACGATAACAAAAGCAAAAATAACGAGGATTGATTGATTGATTGTTTTCGCTGTCTTCAGAAACATTTGATATTTCACATTTCGTCGTGGAGTTATCAAAACTGCGCCAACCCAAATATTTTATTTTCGATTTTGCTATACATTTGTTTGTTAAATTTGTTATACGATTTTGTAGTGTACCGTCGTATAAGGAGTTTCGTGTGTTTATTGCTTTCTTGTCGGTCAATGGTCACAGATTAAATGTTCATTTATGCATAACGGACCGAATGTTGTCGTTCCATTGCCGAACATATCCCGCCACTTGTCGCCTTGTTTCGCAGACATGTGGAGCGGACCCAGCTGCTGCTGTTTGTCGTCGACGTCAACGGCTTCCAGCTCAGTCCGGACAGGGTCAAACGGTCCGCCTTCGAGACCATCGCCATCCTCAATCGGGTACGAGAAACAAACTAGTTGACATCCATTTACTTGTTTCTACCGATCTGCCGACCGATCCTACCGATTGAGGGACCGATAAAAAATAATTCGTAGACATAAGTGGTATTTTTATTTGACTGGCTAGTGAATGGAATGGTGAATGATCATTGCTCACATGCCTCTGCTCACATTTCTGACCACAGGAGATTGAGCTATACAAGCCGGAGCTGCTCGAGAAGCCGGCCATGCTGGTGGTGAACAAGATGGACTCGCCGGCGGCGGCAGAGACCTGGCCCGAGCTGAAGCGGCGCCTGGCCGAGGGACTGGACGCGTCGGCCGCTCAGCTGCCGGCGGACCTCCGGCCCCGGCGGCCGGTTCAGTTCGACCACGTAGTGCCCATCTCGGCGCGCTGCGACCCCGAGTCTGTGGAGCGGGTCAAGGCCAAGGTGCGCGCCTGTCTGGACATTCACGCGGCGCCGCCTCCCGACCTGGAGGAGGTGCACCGGCGCATGCGCACTGGTGGTGTGGTGGCCCTCCATAACCGGACAGTGGACATGGAGCATGATAGAGGGCACCGCCGACGACAGCCGCGGAAACTACCGCAGCTGGCGTGATTTTGTCAGTTAGCTGAGATGAGAGCTGTGTCGTATGTGGGCTGTTTTGTTTGGCGTGTCTGCTATGCATGAAGTTTTGATGATGACCTTATGAACAGTGAATAACATCGTGCTATACACAGATGCATACCGCAGGTTGTTTTGCAAGCCCAGACCCATTCCCTCCGACGGGCAATACCGGGCGTCTGGAGAATATTGTCGAAGTTCAGTGTAGTCTGTCTTGGATTCCAACACTCTGCAGTACTATGGGGCAGACGGGCATTTTAATCATCGCCAGGATCTAGATAAGTGTATAAAGCTATTCAAGAAAGCATCGTTAGACGTTGAACGTGCCCAAAGCTGTGCCTTAACTAATTCTTTTGATCCCTTCGGTGTCAAACCAATGACGATGGCCTCGGCAACAAAGGGACGGAGCACGAAGGCTGATAAAAACATGAAATCTACTGGACATGAATATTTATCTGTATTCCTAGAAACACTTGTCACAAAACTGCTGAAGATAACACAGCATTGGGTAATGGGTATCATATGGGCGACAGCTTGGAGATAGGTCGACAACTCGACACAGGAGGACCAGCCATTGTAGTTGGACATATCTTTCCACGCATTGTGAAAGGTGTGATGTTGAAAACCAATCAAAAACAGTAGTCTGAGGGCGTTATTGTCCCTATTTCCCCTTATCCTGTCCCCAACACCCCTTTCCAGTCCCCAAAGAATGAATGAAAAACCCAAAGTACATATATTATAATTTGATAGCTGTATACCTGGGAGGAATGTGTTCCAAACTCTAGTAGCGACTAGTGTTTGTCGTTTCAACCTTTAAACTAGAAATATTGAAAATTACGTTTACATCTTCCAACTTTTAATCAATAGCCAATCATTAAGAATTTATATTTCAAATTGTATGCACTTTTGTGTTGAATACCGTAAAAACAGCATAAATAAAATATGTTTCTAGTATAAATACCGACGTCACCAAAAACGTGGATGCCACTGAGCTGCCAGTTGCGGGAAATCTTGCGCAGCCGCCACGCTGACGCAACTTGGTTTTGTTTTGGCTGGATTCTCTGCCGGTATTCTGTGTGCTTCTTGACTTATTTCAGAAAGTTAGGTCACAGAATAACAGTTAAAATGCCTGCCGCCAATACGGGTGCGAAGTTCAGTAACGAAGAAGAGCTTCTTCTGCAGGACTTCAGCCGTAATGTTTCGACCAAGTCATCAGCCCTCTTCTATGGAAATGCATTTATTGTTTCTGCTATTCCTATCTGTAAGTTCTATTGTATTTGATCCATTTTTGTCACCAGAATACCTACTAATTATTTTTCCCATGTTTTATTGATCATGATTAAATTTGTCTTCCATGTTGTCTAAATCTGGATTCTCGTAATTTTTATTAATTTCCGGCTGGGTAGTTGCCTAGCCTGCACTTGCTGTCTTTATTTAAATACACATTGTAATCTTAACATCATTCAAGTAAAAAATGTGGCTCATCATCAAGAGTATTTAGCATGGTTAGCATCAAAATCAGTTTTGTTCTGTCATTATATTGATGAGTGATATGAAATCAAAGGTAGGCAGCTGGTGGCTAAATCAGTGTTTTTTTTTTTGTTACTGCTTAAAGAGTTTTTTATCAGTTTTTTTCAGTTTGGGAAATGCTGTTTTAACAAGTTTTCTGTAAAAGTAACAGATTTATCAATGATATGGGATGTCAGAATCAATTGGTTTTGACTTCATTCATTCATATCATGCATCTTTGGTAGGTAGGTTCCTACCCTGCCTGGCCAGGAAGGTACCTACCTATTGCAAGGATCTCAGACTTGGCTTCTGTTCAGATGTACAATTGGGTCCAGCTGAATAGTTTGGTAGTTCCATTGTTAGTAGCACTAGTCCGATTAGATGTGTCATTCATCATTGCACTATTTAGCAATGGTTAGGACTTGGAACAATATCCAGGGTAATAAAGTATCCACCTGACACATCAATCCTCATCCTCATTGTGCTCACCTTGGTGGGCTGTGCCTAGAGGACATCTGCTGACCATGTGTTTGTCCTGTTTCACAGGGCTGTACTGGAGGATCCACATGATGGACCTCTACTCCTCCATCCCCATCTTCCTCATCATCACACTGGCCTCAACCTACCTGGTGGCCATGGCATACAAAAACACCAAGTTCATCTTGAAGCATAAGGTATGCATTGGCTGATCTTGCCAAGTGGACTTTAAATGTATTTCTCTGACTGTTGATGTCTTACTGATAATAAAGACCTTGGGGCCTGGCATCTAAATTCTGGCATGTGGGGACTTGTTTTTTCTTGAGGTGGTTTGAATGCAAAGAAAAGCATTTATTTTATTTCATTTGGTTTGAATGCAAATAAAAACATTATTTTATTTCATTTTTCTTTGCATCAGTATTTTAGTTTGTGACATTGTGTTACGGATTAGACAATGATTGGGCATTTACCTTGTGCTGTAACTAATTCTGCCTTGTGTTTAGAAAGTTGCCTTAGTATTTTCCAATGTATCTGTAGTCTGAGATGTGTCATTTATGGAACTCATTGCCGCTAGCGGAGACTACCGGTGTGGCGCCGCTGACCGCTGCCGTCCCCGGTGCTCCGCAGATCGCCGTGAAACGCGAGGAGGCCGTCACTCGGGAGATGCAGAAGAAGCTGGCCGAGGACAAGAAGATGAGCAAGAAGGAGAAGGACGAGCGCACGCTGTGGAAGAAGAACGAGGTGGCCGACTACGAGGCCACCACCTTCTCAATCTTCTACAACAACGCCCTCTTCCTGGCCATCGTCATCGTGGCCTCGTTCTACGTGCTGCGCTCGTTCGCGCCCACCTTTAACTATGTGCTCTCGGTGGGCTCGGGGGCCGGCCTGCTATGGCTGTTCTCCACGGGCACCAAGTAGGCGGCCGGTACTCTCTGGCGGGCCGCTCGGCCGGCCGTAGCGGGTGGGGAGGGAAGGTGGCGCCAGTGTGCCGAGAGCTGGCGCGGCGGAGCGCGGATGAGCTCAGCGCGCTCATTGACCGTGTGTGTTGTGTCACCCAGATGACTATTCCGTTCGTTTTTATTTCCGGGAGATTGTGGGAAGGTAATAAACTGTACCTATTTATACGTCAAGCGTTTAGCACAAACATTCCTTCGAATATTCAGATTTATTTGCTCAACGTGCGATAAAGAATTTCGCCGTTCAGCAGTATACCCTTCAGTCCTATCGTTTTTTTTTCGTTTTTTTTTTGCAACGTGTCCCGCGGGCTCCAGCAGATGTCACTAAACAGAAGGTGAAGGCCGGGCTCACTGTTCAGTCGACCTAGGATGCTAGCAACATCGCGAAACGCTTGGTACTAGTATTAATCTGCGCTCCAATGTGGTTTTTGTCTCTAGTTATTGCATTGTGATTGGTCGATGGGGCAAGTTACACCACAATGGGGCTACAACACGCATACCTTTCCTTTTAGCGTAACCTATGTGTAGTTCTAAAAAGATAAAGAAGGTTCCATATTTAGCGTAGATGGCAGTCGGAGCTGAGCTGAGATGAGACTGGACTTCAGCAACGAGTCGACCACCGTCCACCCGGAATCCCGGGGACAGTACATACAACTGGCTATAGGTTTACGGACTAATGGGCTGATTGACCTTAACCCGCGCCCTGCTGGGGGGGGGGGGGGTGTTTGAACACCCCCCCCCCTTGTGGTTTTTCGCGAATATCTCAAAAACGGCGGCGCGGAGCGCCGCCGTTTTTGGCACACCTTATCATACATCAATTCTACACATGTTGTAAAATTTTCAGACCAAGGTCATTCAAGGTCAGGTCACCAGGTCACTTGAAGTGACCTCACCTCATAAAAAGTTTCAATGTCTGTCATAGCCACACCGAGTGACCGATCGCTTTGAAACTTTCAGCGATTGCTAAGAGCAATAGCATGTACAAAACGTATATCTCAGAATTTTGATATCGATGACCTAAGGTCAGGTCAATTTTGCGACCTCCCCATTATAAGTCAATGGGAGAAAATTGAAATGCGCCTCTTTTGGACGAAAGACATTATAAACACTCCCAAACACCGAATTACAAGTGGTTTAGACACACTGAACATGAAAATGGTGTCCGTGACCCTTGTTTATGCCCTGAGGTCATCTTAGGTCACGAATGGTATCTAACAGTTTTTCGCAAATAACTTTTGATAGAGGCATGCTAGAGCGATGAAAACGCCTTAGATGTGTTCAGCTCGACGATACGGATCGACTGATATGCAACATGACCCTTTCCGGTCAGGTCATGACCTTGACCTGAGGTCAAATTTTCAAGTTGACCTTTCAAGGTCAAGTTATAGTTCATTCGATGCGTCTTGACGAGAGGAACACGATGCCGGTAAAAGTAAGCTCGTACAGGGCTTGGGTCAAAAGTTATTGTAGAAAAACTGTTTCCGAAAAAATCGGCTATTTTTGCAGTTTTTGCCCCCTGCAGGCAAAACCGTTGACGTTAGGTCAAATCTGAGGGAATTGCTCAGAAAGGGCGTTAATAGGGCTATCGAATGCGCTTTTCCGCGGCGCTGTAGCTCTATTGGTTCCCGAGTTATGCGTTGGCTTCTTGGAAATTGTCGACATTCGACCTGGAAATCGGCGAAATTTTGCCTTCAATGACCTCTGGTGACCTGACCTTTGACCTGACCAAAAAATTGACTGAAGTGATTTCGTCATTATTTTTGACGCTCTTTCGAACGCCGCCTTCCGCGTATCGCTACGTGGCCCAGGAGCTGAGTTACAAGGGGGGGGGGTGTTCAAACACCCCCCCCCCCCCCAGCAGGGCGTGGAAATCCAGGACCCCCAGCCGGGCGCGGGTTAATGGCCTTATTGAAATTGGTATGCATGGTTTACAAGCTTAGAGCCTAGACTGTTGCATGGCTGTGTGGTGGACAGTAAGGAGCCGTTAGTCCGAAATGGACGTGTTATGCACTTTTTCACACATTTTTTTCTCGCTTTAAGCTTCAACCCGATCACTCCGTCCCGTTGGTGTAGCTGTGGCGAGCATTTTAATTCTTGTGGATGTTAGGTCACCTGACGTGACCTGGTGACCTGGCCTTGAATGACCGGGATCTGAAAGTTTCACAACACCTGCAGAAGTTGTTTCGTGGAGTGTGTTCACGATGGTAGCTAAGCTATAGGTATATAATTGCTCAACGACCCAGCCAGGTTATCCACCCGACGCAGAGCGGCCTAGGAGGGCGCTTCTCGGGCGTTCGGCAGCCCCGAATCCCCTGCTGATGCCATAAACATCTGTAAGGTAAACCTGGCCGAACACAGCATGTGGCAACGGTGCCTGCCAAAGGTGCGCGAGATAGCGAGACTGGTGTCAACGGACAGTATGTATTCCCCATAACAAACTCGAGTAACTGACAAGCGCTGTCCGGCGTCCCAATATTTTCGATGAAGCACTCAGCGCGGCGGGTGCTTCCGGTGACCTTCAGCCGAACTGCCAAAAACACCGCCGGTCGGCGGCGTCCAGGTGTCGCGGGTGACGTCACTGGCCGCCGTCCTACAGGTGGAATAATTCGGGACTCGGAATATAACTGAGCGGACTGGTGATAACTCCTCAGCAGTCTGTAGAAATGTCCGCTAACGATGGCGGAGTACCTAAATCGTTATTCAGTCGAACTGACTTACCGTGAATGCCTGCAGCCCTGAACCGTCTGTCTCTATAGCCTGAGGGATAATTCAGCAGGCTAAGCTAAGCAGGGCTGCGGAGTCGGAGTCGGAGTCGGAGTCGGAGTCGGTCGGAGTCGACAGTTGTGACCGGAGTCGGAGTCGGAGTCGGAGTCGATTTTAGAAACCCGAGCCGGAGTCGGAGTCGGAGTCACCGAAAATCTGTCGACTCCGCAGCCCTGCTAGGTCTGCGGAGTCGGAGTCGGGAGTTGGAGTCGGTCGGAGTCGACAATTCTGCCCGGAGTCGGAGTCGGAGTCGGAGCTGGTTTTTGAAAGCCGGAGTCGGAGTCGGAGTCGGAGTCGCCGAAAATCCATCGACTCCGCAGCCCTGAAGCTAAGTAACTTGTCGTGAATCTTCACACGAACAATAATTCCATTAGTTGTGACCCCTCCCACACCATCAAACGTGACCTCTGACCCGGCCGGAGGCGGTGCCGGCCGGTCGTGTAGGGAGCCTCACACCTCCCCCGTCAGCTGGGTCTAGCAGCCGGCCCGGCGGACCGACCCCGCACCTGGCAGGGCCGCGGAGTCCGGCCGGCCGACCGGCCAGTCCGACCCAAGGCGCCGTGTGGTGAGGTGCCGCGATATGTGGTACAGAGAGGGAACCCACCGGGGCGGGTCATGGTGGTGGTGAGGGAGGAGTGAGGGAGGAGCAGGGGAAGAGGTGGTTGGTGAAGTGCAAGAAGTGGAGACTAGCAGAAACATGAGGACGTTTCCGGTGAGCATTATTCGTGACCGACATAAAGTTAAACTCTCTGGTGCTATAACTATAAAGAACGCTGGTAATTTTCACTTTTTAGACGTTCATCTTTTTTGCCCATTCATGCGATATCTTTTATAAGAACGTTATTCCTTCTTGGATAACTCGTATGATGCCTTAATTTGAAATGGTGCTTGTTATTGCAGATTTAGGTAACTTTTAAGTCATAGATGACGTTTCGTTTTCGTTCGTTTTCGTCATTAGCTCTCGATCAATATGAGTCATAGAGTTAGAAATGCACTAATGCTCGTTGTACGAAAACGAAAATGTTCGTTAATTGCTGTTTCAAATGACATGCAATACGAGGTCTTACGGCCTGACCTGAGTTGAGCTCATCTGCTCCTAACTTTTCGAGGCGAAGGTCATCATTCACTTCCCGAGCGTTCGCATCTGAAAGCACATCAAGATTCAACTAATTAAGCTTTTAGTAGTAAATCGACTAACGTCATTGTACGCACCACATGTTGCGCCTTTTCGTGCAGATTTGCCACATCAGTATAACGTCATAACACGATTGAAATCCAAAATATACGGATCAGCAATCAAATATATATTAAACCGCGAGTAGGTAGAACAAATCTTTTAAACGTCGAGCCGATAGGCGAGACGTTTAAAAGGTTTTTCTACCTACGAGCGGTTTAATAATTTTATCCCGTACCGCCTATATCTTTCGGGAGCTTAAAGGTAAAAAAATAAATTTTATGTAAAAATACGACATATTTTAGCAAGCCAGAGACAACGAGAAGCAGAGACAGATGAAGCTTTGAAAAACGGTCCAAACAATGTGATCGGTCTGAAATTGACAGGTACATTGAAGATGAAGTCCAAAATAGAAATAAAAAGAAAAGGAAAATGATGTTTCATTGCGTTTCCCTGCGCATACCTACTGGTGAAAATAACGAGACGGTAAAATGGCAGACATGTCTACTAGACGTTTAACAGTTTGTTAATCGTCACTATAACAAATAGACATTTAATAGACATTTAGCAAATCAGTTAAACGACATCTGATAATTTTCTCTCTTTGCACGTGAAGCAATTGTAAACACTGTTTACAGTGCGGGATAATAGAGACTTACGTGTGGGGATTTAATTATACGGTGACGTTTGGTCGGTTAATGCGTTTTTTTCCAAAGGACAGATAAAAATGATTTGTCCATCAAGGCGTTGTTAATTGAACATCTTTTAATCATTCCTCAAAAAGTCGAAAATCTGCAATTCGATGAAGTATTTAGGTTTAACACAAAAGTTTAAGGGGAAATTAATTTTCAGTTAATAAGCAAGATGCTGTTTTGTAAGATGGACAATCATTTATATATCTAACGGACTAACGGTACATGCCTGGGCCCCAATAAGAGAAGCTGACGTTGCGTGCGAACGTTTCAAATTGGATGCTGCGGTGCGGCTTCCCGAGCTAACGCACTCCGCACTCCGCAGTGAGGTGCGCGCTATAATCCGGCGAGGAATGCTGATATATTCCCGTGTCGTGTTTGAGTGGTTGTTAGCCCGTTCTGAGGTGTCCAGGCGGAGGGATTGCTTGTCATTTGTAGGTAAAACACGCTAGGTAAAATGGCGGCACACACATTACATAGTGGAAAACACCGTACGAGTGTCAAGCAACAAGGGGCTCCCAGATTCAGAAATCTTTAAACGGACATGCTTCCTCATTGCTTTGAAACTTCAAAGACTTGGTACGCTTTATTTTGGGGCACCTATCCATGCTTCTATCCTCAGGATACTGAAATCCTTCTCCTCCACACCACAACCTCCCTCCGGGCTGGGCAGGCAACTTTATCTCATGCGGGCTGCTCCCTTGGAGCGGCACCGCTGCTCCCGAGGGAGCGCACCCCGTAGCCGGGTGCAGTGAGTGCCTTGGGGCTGGGTGGCCTGTCCTCTGGACGGGCTCAGCCCCGGCGACTCACTAGGGTGCCTGCCCAGACCAATGTCTCCCCCTAATTCCTATCATCTTTCCGGCTCTGCAATGGTCTTGTCGACCGAAAGGGCCTAACCCAACAAAACAAACAAACAAATATTTTGGGGCCGGTACGACTGGAGGTATCTGCATTCTATAATAAATAAGTTGTTTATCGACTAACCTTTTTATACCTATTTCTATAGCGTTTTTATTGAAAAAGTTAAACAGGCTAGGGGGGATCTCAACAGTAAATTATTCTTTTCGATTTGAGCAATGTTTGGTCGTTGCATCATAAGGCTGGTCACATTTGACCGATAATGATTGAGCGTTTTAATGTTTTCGATTTATAACAAACGTCGAATAGTCCTATACCAATCCTATATACAATATACACGTACACCAAAGCCTGGCCACATGCTCTGCTAGAATCATCTCCTTCTCAAAGAAACACAGTGTTTTAGCATAATGGATTCCGGAGCGGACGAGTGCTCGTCAGTGAGTTGATGGTGGGCCTACAGCTCCATTACTGGCCCGGGGAGCGCTCTGTGTCGGCACTGGTCTGTTGAATATGCAGCCGCTCCCGGCTGCCTGCCGACCGACAGCGGGCTCCCATTGGGAACATGACTGCCCTCGCTCAGCAGTGACTGGGAACCTCACGGTGGGGTGTCGACGCAGCAGGAGCACTTCGAGGGGCCGATGTGCCGCCACGAGCCCGTATTCATGCTAACAATTGGCCCTGACGCAATTGGAGCATATTGCGAGTCGATAGTCAGGGCAACGGAACCGTTTAAAGCTGGCGATACACGACACAAAATATCAGGTTTTCCTGCTGTCGGTGATTATTGCTCTTATCACTGATTTGAACCACACTGATAATACAGAATGGCTCATTTGTAGCCGTTTGTTTTTAGTATTAGCTGAAGCTTTACTTCCTCGAGGCTATTTTATCGTTTAACGAAAGGCAGTACCTATATACCTTTATTCTCTCTCGCTGATCGAAAACGGAAAATCCCAACGAAACAATAATGGCATTCACTGAAACGTTAATCAACGACATACTTTGTGTCTCCACAGATAGACGGATAGACGTTTCTCGAGTAGACGTTTTTGAATAGACGTTCACGTGTTCTGGGCCAATACCTATCCAAGTGGCGGTAAAAAGTAAAGGAAACACCTAACATATGGACATTCCTGGCCGAAAACAAGTGACCAAAGAGACACGTACCCAAATTAACTTGTTAAACCGGGAGTTAAAATGACACAAGTACCTAGAAATTGTTAAATTAAACGGCCTCCATATAAACCGTTAATGGTTGATGTCATCACTAAGGCAACACGATTTGTTTCTTTGCCCGGTGGAACCACGGACACGGTGACTACAAATAGGTAGAACTGACTCGAGGCACAGCCCCATTCTTGATAATGCTGGTATACGTGTCAATGTGTTACCAAACACTTAACAGGTGTGAGTTCAAATCTCTTACAAATACCTATAGAAGAAGGATCTTTCTCTATCTGTCTGCGGAGGCAGAAAGCAAGCTCTATGACAAGCTCGTAAAACATACGTACAGCATTAAAACCCGAGCCACCGCCGTTCACGGTACAAAGGAAAGGAGAAAGCACATGGCTTTCATATAAATAACACCCTCGGCAGTGCAGTGGGGTGATGCGTACCTCGGACAGAGGAGTACCGTGAGAAAAGGAGAAAGCATGTCTTTCATATAAATCATACCCTCGGCAGTGGGGTGATGCGTACCTCGGACAGAGGAGTACCGTGAGCTGGCGATTGGTGATCGTCATTCGTGAGAAAAGCGCCGCCAGCGTGACCCACTGCTTATCTGGAGTGTTTCGTTCGCAGTTTCTCCTTGGCTGACTGCTGAGCGGTTTCGATTGGATGAATCGGGGATGGACGTCATTGGGATTATAAGTTGCGTCACCTTTTCACGTCGTTTTGGAAGAAGAAAAGCCGCTTTCCAACCAAAACGCACACGAGATATAGGTAACTTGATGTGTTTAGATATGTTTGAGAAAAAAAAAGTTTGCTGATGCTTAAACTCATGCGCAATGGTATTTCACACCGTCTATAAGACAGTAGCGGCGGAACACCTTCAATCAAGGGGGGGGGGGGGCACTGACGACTTTTGGTCCCATTCTTTCCATGCAACGCCCATAGGGCTAATGTTAAAATGCCAAAATCAAAGGGGGGGGGCACGGTGCCCCGGTACCCTCCCCGTTCCGCCGCCTATGGTCTAAGAAATAAACAGTGAACAGCGTTTCAAATTAATTGACCTCCGCAACCTTGCAAATTTTCCACTGAAAAGTGATAGGTTGTTTGAGTCAGGACTTAGCACTTCTTGACATTTGCCAATTTCGCAAGAGGGGTGGATGGTAAGCTGCAAGTTGGCATGGCTCGCGAACGTTATGTAACGGTGCACAATATCGAAGCTGTTCTTTGTCTGCATGAATCAACCTTACCACGCGGATGTAGCGTCACTTAACCAGATTCGTCTCGAAATTTAGCCGATCACTATACATAGACCGTTGTGTTTAGACAATACCCGACCTCGGCGGCATTTCGCAATTGTTGATTAAGCCACAGCGTGCACTGGACGCCGATGATTAATTGTGATTTAAACGTCTCTGGGGGCGAGGCGTGATGATTTCCACAGACAATTTACATTAATCTTCCCGGCGAATACCCGTATTGGACGGGCGGCGATAATTGAAGGCACGGCGGCGGCACTGTGCCCTCCCCGAACCATTACCTTCCGGCAACAGTCAATTAGGCAGCTGCCAAACGTACAGCGCCGAGTCTTTGTGAGTCCACCTCCATAATTCATGTTCTAAAATGGCGAGGTTTCTTTGAAGCCCAAATAACGTAACTTGGAATGCATTCGGTACGAGACCAAACGCGAACGCTGAACAGTCTACCGAGGGCAGTGCGAGATGTTAAAAGTGCAGTAAAAGCTGCAGGTGGCTGCATATTTTAGCCTAAATATGAAATGGTCACGGAAAACTGTATATTAGTCACTGATTATGCATG